GGCTTGATCTAGGGCAATGTAACTGAGAGAAAATACTGAAACCCAAATGAAGGCTGAGTATAATAGTGGGACAAGAGGAAAGTAAAATGAAACAGAGGAAAGAACTAGGAGGCAAAAGGCTTTTATAAAGATCTAAATACAGGCATATGCATATGTAAATATACTTATATATGATTGATGGGAAATCGATCTATGTACATATATTTGTAGGTTTAGTATTAAGGTAGCAGATGGACTTTGGGCTTCTACTCAAGTACTCCCTCAACACAAGAACACTTTGTTCTATTAACCTGATATTCCATGATGTTTACCTTCCCAACATGATTGCTGAAGACAAAGTGTGTGCATAAACAAATGTGGTGAAGAAAGCTGATGCACCCGGCTATTGAAAGATATAGCATCTTAAAGGTTTGAGATAAATAAGCAGCCACCTAGCTGAGAAGCAACAAAGCACACATGGAAGAAGACCAACTTGTGTGATCACAAGGTGTCGAAGGGATGAGTTATCAGGCATCAAAAAACAAAAAAATCTTATCATTGTGAATGAGGGGAAGTGTGGAGTGGAGACCCAAAGCCCATCTGTAGGCAACTGGAAATTCCCTTACAGAAGGGTCACAGGGAGGAGACGAGCAAGTTAAGTAAGGTGTGGTATAGCACCAGTGAAACATATAACTTGCCTCTAGTTCTTTAATGCTTCCTCCCCTATTCCCCCCATCCCCACCCCCACTATCATGATCCCAGTTCTACCTTACAAATCCAGCCAGAACAGAGCATGTACTGGTACAGGTCAGAGCTGGAAACACAGGAAAATCCAGGACAGATAATCCCCTCTGGACCAATAATGAGAGTAGCGATACCAGGAGGGTAAGGGGAAGGTGATGGGAGAAAGGGGGAACCAATCACAATGATCTACATATAATCCCCTCCCTGGGGGATGGACAACAGAAAAGTGGGTGAAGGGAGGTATTGGTCAGTGTAAGACATGGAAAATCAATAATTTATAAATTATCAAGGGTTTGAGAGGGAGGGAGGGTAGGAGAGGGAGGGGGAAATGAGGAGCTGAAAGATAGTAGAAAAAATATTTTGAAATAATGGCAACAAATGTACAAATGTGCTTGACACAATGGATGGATGTATGGATTGTGATAGGAGTCGTATGAGCCCCCAATAAAATGATTTTTTTAAAGCTGTAAGAGCCTCCAATAAGATGATCTCTTTATTAAAAAAAGGATATATGTCTGGAGTTATTATGATAGTTCTTGGGTTGATTAATATATTCTAGAATTGCTAGAAAATAAAAAATTCTAATGGATACTAATATCCACTCTTCCTATGCATGCAACTAGAACGATTCAGCAATGCCTGTGTAATTTGTGCCTTTAGGACACTTACTGCTTTAGTAAGGGGCAGAGAAATCTTCATTTTTCTCAACAAAAGAAAGGTAAAAATAAACAAGGAAAGGGGGTGGGGGACAGATGATAAGTTAGAGGAGGGAAGAGGAGAAGCATTCTGAGATAGAAGAAGCACCATCGCACTCACGTTACAGGGCATATTCTCATTATGTTGGGAGAACTTTGAGGCAGCTTCAGCACGGGTTCTTAAAAATAACCACTGGCCTGGGAGATATTTAGCATAAAAGCCTAGCACATAGTAAGTACTCAATTAAAGTTAGTTGTGAATCAGAACATATGTCTCAGAAAAGGTTGGATTTGGGGTATTTCAAGTACCTGCCAACAAACAACTTTCAAAGCAGGAAGAAAAAGCCTTCCCCTAACTACCTGGTGCCTCCATTTCCCTCTCCCGTTCCGCGGACATTTACAACCCAGTTGCATCGCTCTGTGTTCCATTTTGCTCCTTGTACTTCCCTAAACCCGACAAAACATTAAATACAGTTTTGTTCTAGGGCAGCGGTTCTCAACCTGTGGGTCGCGTCCCCGTTGGTAGTCGAATGACCCTTTCACAGGGGTCGCTGAAGACCATCAGAAAACACTTATTTCTGATGGTCTTGGGAACTGAGTCCCCCGCTCCTCTAGCCGTCTCCAGGCGAGTCTGCCCACATGCAGACACGCCCACATATGAGGACCCAGTGTGAAGACTGTTGCCCATGCTACACCATGCTTCAAGACAAATTTCATTTATTTCTCATTAGAAAGAAATATTTCACAATATAAAATGACATTATTTTTGTGATTAATCACTATGCTTTCATTATGTTCAATTTGTAACAATGAAAATACATCCTGCATATCACATGTCTACATTATGACTCATAACGGTAGCAAAATTACAATTATGAAGTGGCAACAAAAATAATGTTATCGTTGGGGGTCGCCACAACATGAGGAACTGTATGAAAGGGCTGCGGCATGGGGAAGGCGGAGAGCCACTGTTCTAGGGCCACTGATGTCCTATGCCCTATACTTCATTATGTCTAAGAAAATTTTCAAAACAACGTCTCAAAATTGCATCAGCCTCTTACCAATGACTTGCGCTTAAAACAAACAAATTTTAGACATAGAGAGGGAAGATTTTTTCATCCATTGGCATCTTGACATACGTGCTGTATTTGACTTAAAGTGTGAAGGTTCCTAGTGTGGTGGGAGGTGGGGGGCAGCATACAGTGGCTTCCCCTTCCAAGACGAAAGGTGGATTTGGGTGTAGTCGTCTTCCATTACTGTAGATGCTGCTTTGACAGATAGATGGCCGGATTCACCAGACTCGCTGCATTCTGTGCAGTTCCATCTATTAAGATGAAACAATTGAGGCAACAATTAATGTGTCTTTTTCCCTTTCCAAGTGCAAGAGCTTCCAGCCCTTGGTTTTTTTTCCTACGAAAGTTGTTATTTATTCTTTCCCAAAGGGTTACTCACCGCCATCAGTCAGTGCTGACTCATTGCCACCTCAGAGGGAAGGGTAGAGCTGTCCCCCTTTTTACAGGAGTAAAACGGCCCGTCTTTCTCCCACGGAGCAGAAACTCCACTGTTGGTTTTGCTCCTTCTTGTACAGGGCAGCTCCGCTTGGTGGTTTCAAACTGCTGATCTTGTGACTCACAGCTCAATTCATAATCACTATGCTGCCAGGGCTCCTCACAGGGTTTAAGTCGTAAGTAAATACTTGATTGATGGGAATTAACTATATGCAATGTTTTTTCTAAGCATAATACTTATGGAATCTTCCTTAGGACCTCCAATTTTATTCATTTTTATTGGCCACCCTGCTCTGAATCTGTTAACATATAAACATCTAAAGCAAACTCTAAATGCGCTTAGTTAATCTTTCATAATGTTGGACCTGTGGTCACATTAGCCAAACCCTATTCTGCAATAATAGTTATGATGTATGGAATACTTGCTAAATACCAGACTTTGTGCTAGGTACTTTATCTTCATTTCTCACAGTTCCTCACATAAGGTTATATTATCTTTGTTTTACGTTCAGGAAAACTGAAACTTGGAAAGTTTGACTTACTAATTGGCAGAACTGACATACAATTGCAGGTTTGTCTAAATCCATTAGGCATTTTGGTCTCCAATCACCACACTGCTTCTCCACAGTCTAAGTTTCTCTTTGCAAATACCTCATTAGACGTATCCAGCATAATTCTATGAAGAATCAGGAGGCCTACTAAATATTTGAATGTTACTAATGAGAGACTCACAAGACCAAATGTTCCGAACACATTAGAATCTCATTAAGTGTTAATTTAGCCTTTTAGTATTTTAGTTGGTTAAACTCAAAGCACCAAACTCTCACTGTCTTTGAGTCAATTCTGACCCAGCAGCCCTATAGCATTGATAGGTTTCTGAGGCTTATAACTCTTTGTAGGCGTGGAAAGCCTTCTCTCGGAGTAGCTGATGGCTTCTTGCATGTAGCAACCAATGAATAACCACTAGCCACCATGCTGTCTATACCTTTAAAAAAGCACTAAATCTTAGTAGGAATGGATTCGTTTGAGGCACTAATACATAGGTAGCATTTTAGGGAGAATAACGAATAACAAGTAGAACAAAGCCATAATTATATATGATATAGCCAAATTGGGGAGACTCAAATATTTTACCTACTCAACATTTCATGTTAATTCCATTAGTACAACTAATCAACAGCATACAGTCCTTCTGCTGATAATATAAATGAAAATTTAATAATTGATGGGAACTCTAGGAATTCAATGTTATTTGTTTTAGGTGAAAATATGGACCCAAGTTCAAATATACTGTATAAAGACCCCTGAGTAAGCCTTAAATAGGACAAAGCCCAAAGACAAAAATGAGTCATGTGGATGAATGAGACCCTCAGCATGAGGCCATGTTACCTAAAGGAGTCACCGACACATGGCTACTTAAACAGGCCTAGAAATAGAAGAGATTGTCACAAGATCATGATTGACAGTAGACCGATTCATTGATGTCACAGGGAGGGCTATGGAATTGAGAGAAGGACCATGATTGGGATCAATTTGCTATGAAAAATCTCTGAGGGTGAGACTGAAGCAAATTTACTTTGCCTAAAGCCAAAGCTTGTCATTTTGCCAGTCAGTGATCAGAAAGAACGCCGTGGAGGCTGAAGCTCTAGGGAGACTCAACATGTATGTAGGCCTCCCAGTGAAATCCCTAACTTCCTGCAAGTCTATTGCTCAGAATTTAAGTTCTAGGAAATACGGAAAATATTCACTTACTGGGTGTTGTTTTATGGATTTGTTTTTAAAGCTTCTTAAGTTTGACAGTGAATATACATTTATATGTGTGTATGTATGTATATATATAGTTTTGTAGATGCAGGGGGAGAAAAGCTAATGGACTTGGGTTCTTTTAATATCCTGTTGTTTAATTCCCGCCTGGCTGCTTCTCTCTTCAGTTTCTTTGAAAGGAACCAATAGTTTCCGAGTCCCAAAGAAGCAACTCTCGGCCCTGGTTCCTGCGGCAGCTGTGACCGGGGACGGGAGGGATTATTTCCAATCCTTGTTTTGTGACTCAAGCAAATTGATCTCATCAAACCCCATGGAGAAAAGCTGGAAGCACTGTTCTTCGATTTTTGCAGACGGTCATGCTAGATCCAGGTACACATTCCCTTTGGACTACTGAATATCTTCCGTTGTGGGTAGGAACAATAAATAAGTAAGAAATAAAGTTCTAATGTGTTGATAGATCACTTCGATCTAAAACCATAAGTGATTCATTGATACATAATTAGTTCATGTTCTGAGCAATTAGAAACAATTGATGATCAAAAACCAATCTAAAGTGGATCAAGGACCTAAATGAAAACTGAAATTAAGACAAGGCAAAGACAAAACTGAATCATCCTTAGTTTTTTACGATGGATTATCAGATATGACAACAAAATGCAAACAGGAAAGTGAAAGTAGAGAAGACCTCATAAAAGTTATACATTCTTCTCATCAAAGGACATTATCAAAAAAGTGAGAGGATAACGGCCAGGTTAGAAGAAAATTTGAGGGGCCATCTATCCAAAAAGGACCTAATGTCCAAAAACATATGTATTTTTAATTTACAACTTAACAAAAATCAAAAGATGGACAAAAAATTGAACATATATTCATCAAGGAGGATGTTCAAATTGCTAATAGGCATTTGAAAAGATGTTCAAAATCACAGGCTATTAGAGAGATACAAATAAAACCTACAATGAGATACTGTTTCTCCCCTACCAGAATGTCAGTGATTAAAAACATAAAAACAGGAAACAACAGGTGTGGCGAGGTTTTGAAATAACTAAAACTCTCATTGAGGTTGCAGATAAGTATGCATAACTGTACAACCATGTGGAAAACAGTTTGGCTGTCCTCAAAAATTAAACATAGAGCTACCACATAATCCAGCAACTCCAAGCCTTGCTATGTTCCCAGAAGCAAAGGTGGGAAGGCAAACATACATCTCTATAACAGCATTCATTGCACAAAAGTTTTCACAAGAACCCAAAAAGCGGATCTGTTTCTGATTATAGTTTAAGCATGAGGTAGAACCTAGTGGTGGCGGAAAACAAATTTACTTGTTAATTATATTAGAGATCATCCTTTTCTTTTTTTCCAGTGTGAGGGCTGGTCTCAGGTAACATCAATGGACTGAACTGATAGAGCCAACAGACTTTCTCCTCCCCGCCTCCTTATCCCCCCGCGGCAAACAAATATAAAGTTAAGGAAAGTTGCCTAATTTATAAGCAAAAAGCAGAAATGAGACAAATATATTTCACAGCAGTCATATTTTTTAAAGTATAAACTTCTGATATCATATAGGTATCATAGAGTTAAAAAAACCTATTCTGAAAAAATATGTGTATGCTTTAAACATTATATTACAAATATATTGATCAATTATGAAAATATAAATGACCAGTATAAAAAAAATCGAAGAAATTCAAAGAGGAAAGTTCACAGAAGGGGAAACCCCACCATGAAAATAAATGGATACTGAAAGGGCAAGGTATCATTTTATGCCCATCAAACTGAAAAAAATTTATGTCTGAAAATTTCAAGTCTTGGTAAGGATTTGATGAACAAGAAGAAAGGCTATCACGTGTAGGTAACGAGTGAATTACGCAATAGCGTTAATATTACAGGGCTGCGAGAATTATTTATGGTTGTAGTTTAAGCATGAGGTAAAAAGTAGAGAAGAAAGAGCTTACAGTGGCTGACAAACTATATGGGGCTTTGTTTTAATCTCTAGTGCTCTTGGACATTTGAAAATAACTGATGTGCATACTGGGGGATTATTTGTGAGGCTCATGAACTCTTCCCAAGACAAAGAATTGGCGATTGGAAATCATTATCTCCAGCAGAACTTGAACAACCACAAAGTTGCCTCGTACCAGTTCCCTCCCAATCTTATAATGCCGGCCAAGTACACTGTCACCGTGAGTAAAAGATATAACTACCATGAGCTAGACTTGTACAGTGAGAAACTCATCGTTTCTGAAAATGTGATCTTTTCCTGTGTGTATAGTTAGCTAACTATCACTTTGATCATCTTCAAAGTATCAGTTAATACCCTGAATTAATCTGCCAAGGCTTCTTCAATTGGGTCTACAATACTCTGTGCTTTTATGACGGAACTGTGAAGATGAACGTTTGTGAGCACGGCTAATCCTTACAAGAGGGGCATAGAGATGACGTGCTTAGCAGACAGCAGCTTGCTTGACGCTGCATGATCCCTACCGCCCGCCCCCTTCTTGGCACTTCCCTTTCGATTGCTGACAGTAGCTATTTGATTGACACGGCTTGATATGGTCACATTTTACAACCTCCTCTGCTCCAACTACGGTCTTGCAATAACCCTGTGACCTTTACAAATCTATTTTGAACTCCAACAGCATTGACATGGTCTATTTTCTTACAGGTGTGGGCTGCAGCTTCTAAAGCAAAGCATGGGCCTCCCTCAGACTTTCTTTGGAAGAAGCAAACCAGGTTTATAACAAGCCCGAACTGTACAACCATCCTGTGCAAGCCTAACGGTGAAGTCAGTGTCCAGCTCGTAACTCTCGCTTTTACTATAATGAGTCGCTGTTGATCTCTCTCAGCTCAGCTAGTCTCCATCCACCAAAGCTTAGATGGAGCAACACAATCAACACATCAGACAGGTCGAAAGCAACCTCTCCAGTGTCACAAGCACCAAAGGGTTATGTGCACTTGGAGAAACAAGTATTGTGATGTCCTGGAGTCCTAAGAAACTAGCTCAAATTTCAGAATCAAGTTTATATTTAATTTGTATGTGACAGTGACGTCACTGGGGGACTGTAGGGGGTGCACACTATACCAGGTGACAATGTCAGAGAGGTTGACAGGAAAATGACTCTCTAGAACCCATCTGTGCAGTATTCAAACAAATTTACTATTTTATAAAAATATACCTCTAGTTCGCTAGATCAACAAAAACACTTTATTGTAAGCCAGACCTATGTACTTGTATCAATATATCTACATGTCTAAAAACTCTATGCTAATCTATCTTTTGAAACCTTCTAATGAAGACAGAGAGGGCTGTATTATTACCCTGACAAGAACACTTCAAATCACTTGCTTTCTTGTCTGTTCACGGGACAAGCTCATGTTTTTATATGTGCTGATCTTGTGACGTTTTCCAGATTTTTAACTAAAATACTGTAGTAATTTTTTTAAATTTTTAAATCGTTTTATTAGGGGCTCATACAACTCTTATCACAATCCATACATACATCAATTGTGTAAAACACATTT